TCTCCATGACCTTGAGACCAGAAGAATTCAATTCTGCCTGAGTACTACTACCAACTGCTCTGAAACAGATCACACTAGAATGCCCTGGAGAGAGTGAGAGAAAATGTAAAAGAAAACTCTAAATCATAAAAAAGACCAAATTTACTTGCCAGAGAGAGACTGAAGTAATCCCAGGAATATGGCCCTTGGTCACACTTCTAGAATGAAATTCACCCTCATGGCTCAATTTTCAGTTAAGCAGTAGACAGGTATATAAGAGGGACAACAACACTAGTTAGGCATAGAAACCATAGGATGGTCAACCACTTGAGATCCAAAGGGCAGCATTTACCTAAAAACAAAATCCAGAAGGATAAGGAAAGAAGAAGGAATGGAAATAAGAATCACAGGGAGAAAGTGGGATAAGTGATGTTATACTGTTTGTTGTTGTTGTTGTTAGGTACTGTCAAGTCAGTTCCGACTCAAAATGACCCTGTGCACAACAGAATGAAACACTGTCTAGTCCTGTCCTCTTCACAGAGCCCATTTCTACTGCCACTGTGTCAATCCTTCTCATTGGGGGGCCTTCCTCTTTTTCTCTCACCCTCCACTTTACCAAGCAAGATGTCCTTCTCCTGGGACTGATCCCTCCTGACAACATGTTGGAAGTATGTTATCTCAAGTATTTTCTAGTTTCTCTTGCAAAGTTTTCTTTGCTCCATTGGTTGTTGTCTTAGTTACTTAGAACTGTTATAAAAGAAGTGTACCAAAAGTGGATGGGTTCAACAAAGAGAAATTTATTCTCTCATTGTTTAGGAGGCCAAAAGTCCAAACTCAGGGAGCCTATTGGTGCTATGGGCTAATGTGCTGGACTAAAAAGTCAGTTTGAGCTGCAAGGTTGGTGGTTCAAGTTTACCAGCTGCTCCTAGGAAACCCTATACAGCGTTGCTATGGGTTGGAACTGACTTGAAGGCACTTAACAACAACAACTCTAGGAGGAGGCTTTCTTTCTCTGTTGGCTCTGGGAGAAGATGTTTGTCTTTTCTCAACATCTGTGGACCTGGGCTTCTTGGCGAGATCATATTTCTTTGCATCATTCTTCCCCTGTGTCTAGAAGGCTCTCAGTGCAAGGACCCTGGGTCCAGAGGATGCACTCCAGTCCTAGCTCTGTTTTTTTCGTGGTCCCTTCTTCTCAGCTGCTTTCTGTCTCCTTTTATTACTTATAAGATAAAAAGTGGACTCCTGGTGCGGTGCAGTAAGGTCAGCACTAAACTGTGAACCACAAGGTTGGCAGTTCAAACTCACCAGCTGCTCCTTAGAAACTCTATACAGGGTTGCTATGAGTTAGAGTTGACTCAAGGTCACTTAACAACAAGATAAAAGGTGATACAGGTCCCTCCTTCTCTATTCCTTTCTCTTTCCCTTTTATCTCTTGTAAAGATAAAAGTTGATACCAGTCAGTTCCCAGGAAAACTCCCCTTACACCAAATCAGGGCTGTGTCTAGAGTAAGGGTGGCGACCTAAGGAAGAGTGATGCTTCCCTAATCCTGCTTCATTAGCATAGCAAACATAACTTAATTTTGCCTCAGTAACCACAGGCAGAGTTTAGAATTTATAACAAAGTGGAGGCTAGCCATACAATACTGGGAATTACAACTTAGCTAACGTGATATATATTTGGGGGGAACACAATTTAATCCATAACTGCTGTGTAGGAATATATTATTAAATTTCCACATATTTGTGAGTTTTCACTTTTCCGTATGCTATTTATTTCTCATTTCATTTCATTATGGCTTTATACAATTTTTGTCTTTTTAAATGCATCAAAACTTGCTTTGTGACCTAACATGATCTATTCTGGAGACTATTCTATGTATGATTAGAAGAACAAGCATTCTGATGTTGTTGGGTGGAACATTCTATGTTGTTGTTGTTGCTAAGTGCCATCGAGTCAATTCTGACCCAAAGCGACCCTGTACAGGGTTTCCTAGGAGCAGCTGGTGAGCTTGAACCACCGACCTTGCAGTTCAAATGGCTTTGCAGTCTGGCGCATTAACCCACAGCACCACACCAAGAGTGTTCTATAGATGGCAATTAAGTCCAATTAGCTTATACTGTTGCTCAGGCCATCCATTTTCTCACAGATCTTCTGTCTGGCTGTTCTCTCTATTACTGATAGTTCTATCCATTATTGAAGTCTCCAACTATTATTGTTATTGTTGTTGTTAAGTGCTGTCGAGTCAATTCTAATTCACAGCAATCCTGTATAGGGTTTCTGACGAGAAGCTGGTGGGTTTGAACTGCCAACCTTGTGGTTTACAGTCCAGGGCTGATCCTACAGTGCCACACCAGGGAGCCCTGGTTGTGTAGTCAATTATGAGCCAGGATAGTAACCAAAAGGTCAGTAGTTCAAATCGACCAGTTCTCCACAGGAGAAAGAAGAGGATTTTTACTCACATAAAGATTTACAGCTCCAGAAACCCTCTACAGGGTTGCTGTGAGTTGGAACCGACTCAACAGCATAAAACCACTACAATTATTATTATAGAACTGTCTGTCAGTGTTTTTCTTTATACTTTTTGGGCCACTGCTCTTAGTTATGTATATGTTTATAATGGTTTTACCTTCCTGATGGATTGAAAGTTTTATCAGTATATAATTAGGTTTGTCTTTTGATTTTAAATCTATTTTGTCTGAAAATAATATAGTGACCCCAGCTCTCTTTTGGTTAGTATTTGCAAGGAATATCTATTTCTATAATTTATTGATAAATTCTTTCTGTCTTTGTGTCTAAGGTGAGTGAGTCTCTTGTAGATAGATTATAGATAAATCATGTCTTTTATTGAATCATCCTAGTTCCAATGCATAGCAACCCTGTATAGGATTTCTGAGGGTGGCTGGTGGGTTTGAATTGCTAACCTTGTGGTTATCTTTTGACTGAGATTTCCTTGAACACCAGAAGATTAAATAAACAAAACAAAACAAATAAGCAAAAATCTCTCCACATTAGCTCTGTGCTGGGGCACTCCTTTAACATTTAGCCAGTTCATTTATAATTTTGCAGCCTTCACTTTCTGCTTACATTGAGTATATAGATCAGCCAGTGGTATATATGCTTAGGGTCTTTTCAAGTTTCATCTGAGCAATCTTGTCCTAGGCACACATGTGTCTTTCTAAAATTTCCAGCACTTTTGAATGCCCTAATTTCCCAAGAAGACGGATTGATACAATGACAGCAATAATAGCCTCAAACATAACAATTGTGAGGATGGTATAGGACTAGACAGTTTTGTTCTGTTGTTGCAGAAATGTCATGGAATCCATGTCTGACTTCCTCTGGCTTCACAAGGAGGAAAAAGAATCAAATTTAAATTCAGTCCAAGGCCAAATCATATGAAGTGGAGGTCAGACATGGCTTCATCCTACAACTTTCTTTGCCTATTCTGACACCAACCATCCCTCTCATGCCACTCTTTGCTTCACACCTGGGTTTGATCATCCTTTGCAATGGCCACACAGAACTCACAGACAATACTCATGATTATGGGTTTATTAGGAAAATGAACAAGGTACAATTCAGGATCAGAAACAACTTGGAATGCTGTAGGCCTCTAGTTAGAAACAACTCTTCCTTGCCATACTGCAAACATACCTCACTCTTGTTTTCAGCTTCTCAGCCATGTGGCTCCTTGGCCTCTATCCTGCTTGGGCAAGCGTTACAAAGATCCTTTAGTTAGTCTGTAAATGCCCAAAGTGCACATTCTGCAAGCCAGCCTCCTGCTTACCGTCACTCAACTTTACTCAGTCTATGGGCCTAAAGCCCACAGCTGCTCAGTCTCTGCATGCTACCACCTCTGCCACTGCCTTTGCTGTCATTGCTTTTCTAGGTAGGGATCTCACCCTCTGCTCATGCTCTTGTTTCTTGATGGTCCTGGGATTGTCTGTTCCTGCTTCTGAGATGGCTCCTTTTAAATCTAGCAGGATGGCAAAACTAACCAATCCCATGTTGGAGTCCTATACACCCTATTTGCATGGTCCCACCCAATCATACTGACCCCTCGTATGGTGCTGTAGGATCAGCTTTGGACTGCGAACCACACAGTTGCTCCTCAGAAACCCTATACAGGGTTGCTATGAAATGGCACTTAACAACAACCCAGTCATTCAGTGGGAATTAAGAAGGCTTTGGATAGAAAAGCAATATCAAGTAAATTCAAGGTACCACAGTTGTGCATAGAGTTGCTATGTGTCAGAACCAACCTGAGGGCAACTTCTAACATAACAATTTCCCAGCAAAACTTTTCCTGCTCTCAACTTCCTAGTCAACGTCTTAACTATAATATCTTGCTACAGGTATCTATATTGTTCTTTTAAATCATCTTTCAATATTTTTGAGCAATTCCCATCACATTTATAACTTGATTAGGTTCCTACTTAGGCAAAACAGAACAAATTCGTGTCCTTCAGGTAGCTCCCAGGCAGATTAAAGCAAACACAATTTAAAAATGAAATCTGCTCTGCTTTTTTCAGAATCATGGAGCAGGTTCCCATACAAGAAATGCAGGCTGTAGTCACTGAGCCAGGGAGGAAGTGGATTAAGGACAAGTTAAAATACCACAAAGCCTTCCTATGATTTTCCAGGTGTATTTGAATTGATTAAACATTCAGTCACTACTATTTGCTTCTTCAATGTTTCTGGGTTTTTTTCTTAGTGTTTTCTCATTCTTATACAGAAACTTTTCTATCCTTACCTGGAAACAGAATCAAGATAGACTGAAATGAGACTTTCCCCCTCCTCCCCCCTTTTCAGATGAGTGAAATTGATACAAGAAAGAGGAACCTATGCTTCAATTCTTCCCTCAACAAGAAATACAAAAAACAAAATTTTGAATTATATTATAACTTTAAGTATTAAATGGAATGAACAAAATTTAAGGTTACCAAGACTGGTGAAAGATAAATTCTACTCGTTCTCTTCTCAAGATTTCACTTTGAGTGTTTGTACTTACTCCAAAATAATGCAAATGGACAGTATAAAATCAGGAGAACATTTATCAAACATCCAGAGAGATAATCCACAACAGATAATTGACAGAAAATTTTTCATTGATGCTTCTAACCAGAGACTGACTACCATTCCACAAGAGATCTTAGAATTAAAAGAATTAGAAGAAGTACATTTAGAAAATAACAAGATTGAAGTTATTCCCCAGGAAATTCAGTATTTAAAGAATGTCAGGATCCTCTATTTGAACAAGAATAAACTAAAGAAACTGTGCCTGGGCCTGAGCAAGCTAAGCAACCTAGAGAGCCTAGATCTGAGCAACAATCCCCTTCTCTCTTCTATCCAAGTCATCAGCCACATCCGCACCCTGCGTCAGCTCTGGCTCTACAAGAATTCCCTGAAAGAATTTCCCATTGCAATCTGTAAGTCCCTTCACCATCTGGAGCTTCTAGGACTATCAGGAAACCTCTTGAGCTCTTTGCCCAAGGAAATAGTGAACCAGAGCAAATTGAGGGAGATCTACCTGAATCAAAATAAATTTGAAGTTTTTCCTCAGGAGCTCTGCGCTCTCTACAACCTAGAGATCATCGACCTGGATGAGAATCAAATAAATTCCATTCCAGAAGAGATTGGAGAACTGACACTGCTGCAGAAGTTGTATATAGCTCATAACAACATGCCCTTTATACCTGAATCCCTGTGCCATTGTAGCAAAATGTCAGTCCTTGATTTTTCCTATAACTCCCTTGAACACATTCCACACATTCTCACCAAGCTCATAGAGATGACAGAAATCGGACTGAGTGGGAACCACCTAGGGAAGGTGCCCCACCTCATTTGTAAGTGGCCCTCCCTATACTTGCTATACCTGCGCAACACAGGTCTACAGAGTCTTCGGCATTCCTTCAGACGCCTGGTCAACTTGCATTTCCTGGATCTCAGTCAGAACCAGCTGGAACACTGTCCATTACAGATTTGTGCTCTGAAGAATCTGGAAATCCTGGCGCTGGATGATAATAAAATACAGCAGGTACTGTTCTCCTGATTGGCACTATGCTCTTATCTGGAATTGTGCTTATTCTATGATGGTGTGGTTCTGTGTCTAAACACAAGCTCTATCATAATAATCTATTCAGACGGATTTTATGATAGAAAATCTAGGGTGAAAACACACAGCCAGCAAGGTAGTAATTATGTATTATGTATTTTTCCTAAATAACAATGATAATAAAACATTTATTTGGAGTCCTGGTATAGTGCTGTGGGATAATGCACTGGACCACAAGGTCAGTTGAACTGCAAGGTTGTTGGTTCAAAATCACCAGCTGCTCCTTGGAAACCCCATACAGGAACACTATGAGTCAGCATTGACTCGAAGGCACTTAACAACAACAACAATGTTTATTTGGAGCACAGTGGCTTTGTAGGATGAGCACTGGACTGCTAACCACAACGTCAGTGGTTCGAGCACACCAGTTACTCCATGGGAGAAAGATGAGGCTCTCTGCTGCCATAAAGATTTATAGGCTCATAAATAGTTAGGTGTTGTTAGGTGTCATCAAGTCAGTTCCAGCTCATAGCGACCTTGTCTAGGGTTTCTGAGGAGTGGCTGATGAGTTTGAACACTAAACCAACTCCATGGCACTTAACAACAACAAAGTTTATTTAGAATATGTATGTTGTAGTCAGTGGGCTAAGTGCTTTTCATAGTTTACTTCATTTACCCCTAACATTGACTCTTTGATATAATATTATTATCCTTAATGGTATGTGAGGAAAATGAGCAAAGGTCACTTTAGTAACTTGTGCTAGTCTACAGATCTGTAAGTGATAGAGCCAGGGTTCCAACTCAGCACTACTTGTATGCAAGGTCTATCTTCTTAACAAAGACCCTGCATCATGCTTCCCTTAAGTCACAGACTTTTCTGACATATACTACTTTAGGTCTTAAAGTTCCATTCCTGGGAAACTGTACAGAGTGGTGTATTCAAGGATTTCCACTACAGCATTGTTTATAATCATGAGATATGGGAGACAATCTAAATGTCAATCAGTAGGATGATGAGCAAATACGTTATAGCATTTTATAAAATGGAATATTTTATAATGAATTCGATGACATATGTATTCACATTTCTATATATATACATATATTAATGTGAGTGTATTTCAAAATAGTAATGTTTCCTTAAAAAACATCAAATTATAGAACATTGTTACGTAACTCTTATAGATATTTAAATCACACAAAACTACATTACACATACAAACACATGTTTTATGAATATACAAATGTATAATAAAAGTATAGAATTATGAATTGGAAGAAAACTAAATTCCTGATAGTGACTGCCTGGGAAGAAGGAAGGAGGAAGTCAAGGACAAGTCAGTGCCAATTCTACAGCGCCATACAAGGGTATCATAGGGGACCTGAACTTTAATTTTAACATCTCATTTTATTTGTTAACAGATTTGGGTGATGAGCACACATGTATTTGTGTTTCTTTTTAATATTTGAAAATTAAAAAGAATAGAGTTATTTTTAAAAGCAAAGTATAATAATAGAAATTTAGAAATCAATAACAGTTAAGTGCCATCAAATTGGTTCTGACTCATAGCAATCCTATATAGGGTTTTCAAGGAGTGGATCATGGATTTGAATGGCCGATCTTGCAGTTCAAAATGACCTTGCTGTCCAGTACTTATTCTATAGCGCTTTGTAGTACTCCTCAACAACTATAAACAAAGAATAAATCTGCTTTTTCTGACCATGAATACCAGTCTCAGGTATTCACTATACAGTATGAAATTTTGGGGGCCTTAAAGGATTGTTTTATTTAATTTTCAATTTCTAGAACCTTGTGTTGTTGTTGTTGTTAATTATTCTGGTTGATACAGAGTGTTGAAGGAGCCCTGGTGGTGTGGTGGGTTGCGGGCGTTGGACTGCTAATCACAGTGTCAACAGTTGGAATCTACCAGCTACTCTACAGGAGAAAGATGAGGCTTTCTGATCCCATAAAGATTTATAGCCTTGCTATGTTTACCACTGAATGGTTTAAAATTAAGAAAGGTGTGTGACAGGGTTGTATTCTTTCACCATGCTTATTCGACCTGTATGTTGAGCAAATAATCTGAGAAACTGGGTTATATGAAGAAAAACGTGACATCAGGATTGAAGGAAGACTCATTAACAGCCTGTGATATGCAGATGATACAACCTTGCTTGCTGAAACTGAAAAAGACTTAAAACGTTTACTGATAAAGATCAAAGACCACAGCCTTTAGTATGGATTACATCTCAAAGTAAAGAAAACAAAAATCCTCACCACTGGACCAATAAACAACATTCGTATTAATGGAGAAAAGAATGAAGTTGTCAAGGACTTCATTCTTCTTGGATCAACTATCAACACTCATGGAAGCAGCAGTCAAGAAATCAAAGGACGTATTACATTAGGCAAATCTGTTGCACAAGACCTTTTTAAAGTGTTGAAGAGCAAAGATGTCACCTTGAGGACTAAGGTGTGCCTGACCCAAGCCATGGTATTTTCAATAACCTCATGTGCATGCGAAAGCTGGACAGTGAATAAGGGAGATTGTAGAAGAATTGATGCGTTTGAGTTATGGTGTTGGAGGAGAATATTGAAAGTTCCACGGGAAGAAATGCAGCCAGCGTGTTCTTTGAAGGCCAGGATGGCCAAACTTGGTCTCTCCTACTTGAGACATATTGTCAGGAGGGACCAGTCACTGGAGAAGGATATCATGTTTGCTAAGGTGGAGGATCAGAGAAAAAGAGGAAGACCCCCAAAGAGATGGATTGGCCAAGGAGCAGCATTAATGGACTCAAGCGTGGCAACCATAGTGAGTTTGGCCCAGGATTGGACAGTGTTTCATTGTGCTGTGCATAGGGTCGCTATGAGTCAGTACCAACTCAATGGCACGTAACAACAACAGCATACATACCACAGACTCTCATTAATATTGTGAAGTTCAATTGTGGCTCTTATTTCTCATGTTACAAGCCATTTTGCTTTTCCATTGTACATTGACCCATTGTCTTTTTAAGATGCTGCTGAAATTGTAGAGAATGTAGCAAAAACAATAATAAACAATGACAGTTAAAAAAAAAAAAGATTTATAGCATCGTGAAGGGTCACTGTGAGTCAGAACTGACTCCGTGGCAGACGACCATGACCACCACCACCATAGAGTCTTTAAATTGCCCTCCAGAAAGTAAATGCTTTGATGTTAAGTTTAAGATTTAGCGCTTTAACCTTTACTGAGGTAGCAACCTACCTTGTAAAATTTTGAAGGTTCCATGAAAGGCCTGCTGCCCCCCTCACTCCCAATTCTTGACCCTCGTATTCTACCACTGATGTAAGACAGTTTATTTTCGTTTTGTTTTTTAAACAGCAGACAAAAATCTTACATTCCATAGTTGGAATGAAGGCTTAAAATATATAATGCCCTTTGAAAGGATAACACATTGATTTAATTCCTATTGAATTATTAATGATACTGAAAAGAGAAAATAACACTCAGACTGTTAAAGTTAGCCCTCATCCAATACCAACTTTTACAAGTCAAACTGTGCGGAAACATAGGCATGTTAAATATTATTATATTGAACTTAAAAGATTCTATATACTACTTCTTTTTTACTTTATCATTTTGACCATATTTTTTATATCTTCCCTTCCCAGTTCCCTCTTATATTACCCCCTTCTATAACCTCCCAGAAGTCCTGGTATGGCGCTGTGGGTTAATATGCTAGACTACAAAGTCAGTTTGAACTGCAAGGTTGGTGGTTCAAGCTCACCAGTCACTCCTTGGAAACCCTCTAGAGGGTTGCTATGGGTTGGAACCGACTCGACGGCACTTAACAATATAACCTCCCAATGCATACCTCTCCTAAATGATACACAAGAGCTTTAAACCAAATCCTTATCTTTCCCACCTCAGAGATTTGTCTCTTGAAGCCTGGTCAGTTGCATCTGCTATAGCCCTTTAAGCAGCATTTCAGCAGCTTCTCCTTGACTAGGTAGATAGATACACAATAGCTGACTTTCAATGTGTGCCAAGATGGATTTTATCTGCATTTCTATTGGAGTCCATGGGAAGTGCAAATGGTCAACACACATAGCTACTAACTAAAAAGTTGGAGGTTCTAGTCTACCCAGATGCACCTCAGAAGACAGGTGTGGCTATCTACTTCTTATAAATCAGCTATTGTAAACCCTATGGAACACAGTGCTTCTCTGAGGCACATGGGGTCTCCATGAGTTGGGGTCAACTCACTGACATCTAATTGGTTACGTTTCTATTAACAAAGACAACCAAGACAGTATATACCCACCTCAAAATGGCTATAGCTCAATTTTATTGTCATTAATACTTGTCCTCATTGGAAGCTCTGGAGTTTTCTTTTGAGAAGACAAATTTATCTCCATTACACTTAATATGACCATGGCGCTATAGGATAAGCACTGGAACAGAAGGTTGGTTTGAACCACAGGGTTGGCAATTCAAACTCACCAGCCACTCCCCAGAAGTCCTATACAAGGTTCCTATGAATCAGAACCTATTCTACAGCACTTAACAACAACATGGGAAATGAGCCCTCCCCTACACAATAGCAAAAGATTCCAAGTGTGAGAGGATTCTACAGATAAGTTGAGATTCCATTTTTCTCCAGTTGCACATGACCTCTCCACCACTGTCTGTCTCTTCCATTCATAAGTAGGAAGGATGAAGAGCCCTGGTGGTAGAGTAGTTAAAATCTCTGCTGTTAACTGAAAGCAGTTCGAATCCATCAGCTGCTCCATGGGAGAAAGATGTGGTAATATGCTTCTGTAAAGATTACAGCCTTGGAAATTTACTATGCTAGGAATGACAAATTGAAGAGGAATGACACCTCATTCATAATCAAAAAGAACATTTCAAGATCTATACTGAAGTACAACACTGTGGTAGGATAATATCCATACGCCTACAAGGAAGACCAGTTAATACAACTATTATTCAAATTTACACACCAACCACTAATGTCAGTGATGATGAAATTGAAGAATTCTACCAACTTCTTCAGTCTGAAACTGATCATACAGTCAAGATGTATTGATAATTACTGGTGATTGGAATGCAAAGGTTGAAAACATAGAGGAAGATATCAGTGGTTGGAAAATATTAGCCTTGGTAATAGAAACGATCACATGATAGAATTTTGCAAGACCTATGACTTGTTCATTGCAAAATACCTCTTTTAAACAATATAAAAAATGACTATACACATGGACCTCACCAGAGGCAATCCACAGAAATCAAATTGACTATATCTGCGGAAAGAGATGGTGGAAAGTCAGCCAAATCAAGACTAGGGGCAGACCATCAGTTACTCATACGCAAGTTCTGGCGGAAGCTCAAGAAAATCAAGCAAGTCTACAAGAGTCAAAATATGACCTTCAACATATCTCACCTGAGTTTAGAGATCATCTCAAGAACAGATTTGATGCACTAGACCCTAATGACCGAAGACAAGAAGATTGTGGGATGACATCAGAACATCATACAGGAAGAAAGCAAAAGGTCATTGAGAAGACAAGAAAGAAGGAAAAGACTAAAATGGATGTCGGAAGGGATTCTGAAATTTGCTTTCCAGTGTAGAGATGCTAAAGCAAATGAAAGAAATGAGGAGGTAAAAGAGCTGAATAGAAAATTTCAAGGGTCAGCTTGAGAAGACAAAATCAAATATTATAATGAAATGTTCAAAGACCTGGAGTTAGAAAACCAAAAAGGAAGGAAATGCTTAGCGTTTCTAAAGCTGAGGAAACTGAAGAAAATATTCAAGCCTCAACTTGACATACTGAAGGATTCTGAGTGTTGGAGGGGAATGTTAAAAGCACTCTGGACTGACAAAACAAATCTGTGTTGGAAGAAGTACAGTCAGAATGCCCCTTAGAAGCCAGGATGGCCAGACTTTGTCTTTCTTACTTCAGACCCATTATCAGGAGGGACCAGCTGGCGAAGGACATCATGCTTGGTAAAGTGGAGGGTTAGTCAAAAGAGGATGGCCCCCAATGAGATAGACTGGCACAGTGGCAGTGGAAATGGGCTCAAGCATAGCAATTGTGAGGTTTGTACAGGACGGGACAGTGTGCACAAAGTCACTATGAGTTGGTACTGACTCAATGGCATCTAACAATAACAATAACAACTGGTGTGGCACTGTAGGACTGGACTGCTAATCACAAGATTTGTAGTTTAAACCCTCCAGACGCTCCTTGGAAACCCTATACAGGGTTGCTATGAGTCAGAACTGACTTGACAGCAGTTAACAACAATTAACAACAATAACAACTCTGTCATGCTTCAGACATGTTATCAGGAGGGACCAACTCCTGGAGAAGGCCATCATGCTTGGTAAAGTAGAGGGTCAGCAAAAAAGAGGAAAGACGCTCAATGAGATGGATTGGCACAGTAGTAGCAGCAGTGGGCTCAAGCATTGCAGCAATTGTGAGGATGGTGCAGAACTCAGCAGTGTTTCGTTCTGTTGTGCATAGGATCACTATGACTCAGAGCTAACTTGACTGTACCTAACAATTATAAGAAGAAGGCATCTAGCTGGGCTTTTATCTTTCTACAAGAAAATGAGGCATCTCTGTAATACAATCAATATGATTGATGTCACATGCTTTAAGAAGAATCTGATTTTTTAGTGTTCTTCTGGAAGGCCAGAAAAAGATAAGTGAATGTCACAGTGAGAAAGATCTGTACTTAACAAAACAAATAAAAATTTGATGAATAGAGGTATTCCTGGAGGAGAATAAGTTTTTTATTCCAGGTGTTTAAATTTGTGCAGATTGACTAACTATGAAAGATATTCAATCACCCTATTGCTGTTGTTATTGTTAAGTGCTGTAGAGTCAGTTCCAACCCACAGCAACTCTGTATAGGGTTTCTGAGGAGCAGCTGGTGAGCTTGAACCGCCACCTTGTGATTCAAACCAACTTTGCAGTCCAACGCATTAACCCACAGTGTCACACCCTCTTAGAGGGTTGGAGTAAACCCACTGCCACTGGATTGATTCTGACTCCTAGTGACATCATATAGGGTTTCAAAGACTAAATCTTTATGGGAGCGATAACCTCATCTTACTCCCGAGGTAGGTTTGAACCATTAACCAGGAAGTTAGCAGCCCAAGGCCTAACCTACAGTACCACCAGGACTCCTTAGAGGGTTGGAATAGAAGATTTTTTTAAGGCCCCCAACCCTGAAAGTCTTGAAATGTCTATCCACTACCTACACAGGGCATGAGCATGAGGTAACTTCCAAATGAGACTTAAATTTCAAATCTTGCTAAGTAGTCTTTTTAGGATGAGTGGTCATGTCACTAAATGTATCATTTCTAATCACTAAATTATTATGAATGTAATGAATAGGATATTTAATAATTCTAGTACTTTCTTTTTTCAGTAGTAGCAGTTGCCACACTATAGTTCATAGATGTGCAACAAATAAAAATTGCTCCAGTTAAAACAGTGCATAAAAGTGAATAGCTGAGAGTTTCAGAAAAAATAGTGGAACTCTTGATTTCAGATCTACAAATATAAATAAATGCACACACACCTGTATGAGATGCTAAATTGCTCTACTTTTTGTTGAACATTTGCCTCAAAACCAAAAGCCCAATTTGTTTTCTTACTGTTAAAAATGGTCTTAACCTGATATTTATCATTTTGGAATACTTCTAGTTACCTCCAGAGATTGGCTCACTTTCAAAATTGAAGATTCTTGGATTAACAGGAAACCAATTCCTCAGCTTTCCAGAGGAAATTTTTTCTTTAACGTCTTTGGAGAGACTATATTTGGGGCAAGATCAGGGAGCCAAGTTTACCAATCTGCCAGGATGCATTAGCAAACTGCAGGTAAGCCAACAACACTGACTCTTTAAAGCGGCAGATGTGGAGAAATCATGGAGGTGTCCCTGCATGTTGGAGGTGGACTCATGGATACTAGATTCCAAGCAAGCTCCAGAAAAGCAGTTTTTCTCAAATTTTGAGGCTTCCATTGTCTTACTGAACTATCCCCAGATATATACCCAAATAATATTTTATTGTGAGGACTACTGGATATGCCAAACCGTATTTCCCACTGTGTGGTTTGGCATGTTTTATTTACAAAAGTAGAGTCATATGTCAGTTTTCTTCTCAAAAGAAAACTCCAGAGCTTCCAATGAGGACAAGTATTAATGACAAAAATTTACATTTTTCGTAAGTAGCTAGCTCCCTTAAGACTGAACTATTTTGAAATTAAGACATCGGACAGGCGATGTGGCTGGAGCCTGCCTTTTTTGGGAGCCAGTACTGCCTGTAAGGGGCAATCTGACCCCCGCCTGGTGGCAATTCCTCTTGCTAAGCTGGATCACCCATATATCATGGGTTATGTAACTGATCCACCAGTGTCATACTGAAGTTAAGACCACAGTACTGTGCTGAATCCTAGCACAACAATGAGATAACTTCATTCAAAGTAACCACATCAGTGTCTTCATGTATGCATTCTTTACAAAACTGCTCTCTCTCATGTTCCTGTTATTGCACTCCTAATAATGATAAAGTGCAGTGGTTCCATATGATAAGCACTGGACTATGAATCACAAGGTCTGCAGTTCAAGCCCGCCTGTCGCTCCTTGGGAAAAAGATGAGTCTTTTCGCTCCCTTGAAGATGTAAGCCTCATAAACTCTATACATGGTTGCCATGAGTCGCAACCAACTCGATGGCACTTAACAATAACAAGTTAGGTGTGGCCCCTTATTGTTGTTAAGTGTTGTCGAGTCAGTTCTGGCTCATAGTGATCCTGTGTGGGGTTTCCAAAAAGCAGCTGGTGGGTTTGAACTGCCGCAGTACAGAGTTGATCCTACAGTGCCAACCCCAACTATGGATCTGAGCGGCAGCATGTACAACGCTTAGGAGCCCTACAACACAGGAGTCCTATTCCTTTTGCTCCCTCTCTTTGTCATGTGTTCACAGGATACCTTCTATCATCTTGCTCCTTGTCTGTGTCATGCCATACGCTCCAGAATCTTCGGGCAAAATGCAAACATTAATATTTCACTCAGTGAATTTACAATAGTAAAATTGATTACATCCAAACACATCTAAGTGGAAGTAACATTTTCCTTAGATGACGTTGAGTTGATACTTGAGGCAATTACAATTCTGTAGTCACTGCCACAGAAGATTAGCTGTTGAAAGGAAGAAAATGACATAGTTAAATGATCCAAATAAATTTCCATAAATTCTAATGAAACAAATAAACACTGTTGTTGTTAAGTGCTGTCAAGTCGGTTCTGACCCATAGCGACCCTGTATAGGGTTTCCGAAGAGCAGTTGGTGAGCTTGAACTGCTGACCTTGCAGTTCAAACAGCTGGCTTTGCAATCTGGCTTATTAACCCACAGTGCCACACCAGGACCCATAATCTCATATACCTGCTTAAATAGAAACGTGACAATGATTTGACTAAAAATTAATTTTATTTCTTGAAGATGGTTCTTTATGCTTTCCCCCCTTTCTCCTAAAGCATAATTCCTCTTATTTACAGGACACATGAATTCACTGGGGATTGTGGTTATTACAATTCCCCTATGAAGTTAAGAATCACTATGGTATCCTCATATTCTTTCAGAGTCTCAAAGAGCTTCACATAGAGAACAATAAATTGGAGTATCTGCCGGATTCCTTGGGTTTACTGATTAACCTGGAAATTCTGGATTGCTGCCATAATTTTCTTAGGCAACTTCCAAATTCCATTTGCCAAGCACAAGGTGAGAAAGGTTAATAGATCCATAGTCTATTAGAGTTTTGATGCTGCCATTGGGGGCTGTCAAGTCATTTTGACTCATAGTGACACAGGAGAACTACCACATGTCTTTCTTATGCAGAGCTGCTGGCTGGATTCAAATATTCAGTCTTTCAGTTTGCAGCTGAGTGCTTAGCCACAGCACCACCAGTGTTTCCCATGATTAAGGTTTCCTTGCTTTATGAAAGATCTCTCTCAGTGCTTGGGGACTGGGTTCTAACCCATTACCTCCTTCCTATATGTCAGAACCTGGAGTTGATTCTGCAGTAAATTTGCATCTTGGTCACTAAGTCACTTGAATAAAAACATTGACTCCAAGTGCTGAAATCAGTAAGGGGGAATTTTGGAGCTACAGTACTGACATAGGAAACCATACTTTATTTACATTTAAACACCCACATATTTTCCACAAGCCTAAGCCGTTCTTCATCTGCCTGTCCATCAATCCATCTACTTAGCAAGCTTTCAATGAATGCTAGCTGGGTATAGGTAAAAAAATAATTTTTCCATAATGCTCTGAAGCCCCATGTTTATAGATAAGTTATCAAACTATGTCCATTCTCATTTAATAAAAGAGGATGAAGGAATAGGGGGTGGAGTATCCACTTACCCACAAAACATTAAAAACTTTGGCTCAGCTGATGTTCCTGATTATACATTGTTAACCCTGACCTAAGTCCCTGGAGGAATTGAAATTAAACTTTTCAGTGTTTACTATGTTTCTGTCTCTAATATTTATTATTTGGAGCCCTGGTCTGGTGTTGTAGGATAAGCACTGCACTTATCCTACTTACCCTGCTAACTACAAGGTCAGTGGTTCAAACCCACCAGTCACTCCTTGGACACCCTATACAGAGTCACTATGAGTTGGAAACAACTTGATGTTATTTAACAACAAGAACAATATTTAATTACTCTAGCTCCAAGAATGAGTTAGAACTCAAACGAGTTACAAAGAAGAGAACTCAAATGAGTTATACACCAAATGGTTTCATCTGATGCCTTTTGTTACATGGCACAGTAGGAACCAAACATCTCAAATTAACTGGACTAAAGAATGCATATTTGATTTTTTTGTCTGTTCTTAAGATAAATCCACAGTTATAAAAACTTTTTTTTTTTCTAGCTTTGACAGAATTACTACTTAAGGACAACTTGCTCACTCATCTTCCAGAGAATTTGGATAAGTTAGTAAATCTAAAGACTCTGATGCTGATGGAAAACCCCATAACAAAACCCCCAATAGAAGTGTGCGCTGAGGGTATGGAGGCTATCTGGGCATATCTTAAGGAAAACAGAAGCATGAAAGTAATGGCAACAAAGGTAAAACCAGAAAAATTCTTAGGAACATACTCATGCTTGGTTTGGAAGGGGATTTGTATTAACTACATCACAGTTTATCCAACTTCTCTCTACACATCTACTGCCCTTCTTAGGAAGGAATAAAATAACCAAGCCAATTGCTATGGAGTTGAGTCTAACTCATGCTGACCCCAGGTATGTCAGAGTAGAACTGTGCTCCACAGGGTTTTCAATGGCCATTTTTTTAGAAGTACATCACCAGGCTTTTCTTCTGAGGCACCTCTGAATGAACTCAAACTTCGAACCTTTTGGTTTACAGCAGAGTGTGCTATTTGCACCACCCAGGGACTCCTCTTGAGAGCAGAGAGTCTTATTTACTTTTATGTTCCCAGGGCTAAGTGCAAAAATCTTTTAAACATCAGTTTCTTTGTCAGATAAGAAACCAACAAACAGGTAAAAGAAAGCAAAACTTCAAATCCCCAAACAATGTAAAATTCTTGTACTATTTACTGGAATGAAAAAGATATATACACACACACAGAGTAAGAGAAATCCACAGACCTAGTGCTATCGAGTCAATTCTGACTCACATAATAAAGTAAGGCTGAAACCTTAGAAATGAAAGCATGTATGGATCCGATGTGTGGTTGCAGCTGTTTTTGCATTATCTTTAGTAAAACATTACTTGCATGGCACATCAGTGATATTGCCTGATTTCCACATTCCATTGGGTTACCTCTCTTTCGAATGGACACAAATACGGAGTTGGCCAGGTAGCTGTCTTCCAAATTTCTTGGCATCTCCCGTCACTTCATATAAGCTGGATGCTTCACCCTGAGCTCTAGCCCTCCATGGCTATGTCCTTGTCCATGGGCTCAAGTGTTCTCAGGTCTCACCACACTTTGGACCAACCAGCACTTCCTCTTATCTCTCTCATCTTCAGGTATACAGGAGTCTATGGACCGTGGTTGAACTCAGCCCATTTTTTCATTGCTGCCTTTCCCCCTTCTCCACTCACCAGTAGACCAATGTGGTCGCCAGCAAGCTTACATGCTTGTTTGTGTGTTCCCTTTGAGTTTCAGTCTTAGAGGGGAGTTTGTCCTGAAGGAACTTGATTGCTTGCCTTAATGTCTTCTGGGCAAACAGCTTGCTTATTCTTGTAGTAGCCAGTCATGCTGACATTTTTGTTTTGGGTTTTTCCTGCTGG